TCAGATGCCCTCAGGAGCTCTGCAAACGTATCAAGGCACAAAGCAGGGGAAATGAGACTTCATTCTAAGCTGACCTCCCTGGGGGCCTAATTCACTGGCAAAACAAAGTACCTCCATGGATGGTCTCCAACTGGAGGCCTACAGTTTGCTACCTTTCTGGAAGGAAAGGTAACCTATGGTCACATAGTTGGGAAAAGGTTTTATTTTTCCTGGTTCCATGTTCACATTATTTTAGAATAATCAAGCTAAAATTGCAGCAATGAATTGGAATGCTAGAAACCACCTCCCGTACACCTATTGTAAGGGTTAAATTGTAGTGTAGGGCTAAGGCTTCGCTTGAAAAATAACAGCTTTGTTCTGACACTGAAGGTCAAAAGATAACAGCCTTGCTTTTACTCTTGTAAATCAGGCTTTACCAATGAAGGAAACAAAAGTTCAAAGAAAAGAGCATCAAAGGCAAGGTCAAGGAGATCCGCTGGTTGTAACTTAGAGGCAGAGAGTCTAAAATAATCACCTCATTAGGCAACTGTTTCTAACTCATCTGGGAACTGTTTCTCTCTTCTGTTCCCAGGTAATGATAAAACGATGTGATCGGCTTTAAAAACTCTGTACTCTGGCTGTTCGGAGCCTCACTCTTATCCAGAGTGTTGGTCTGATTGGTCGGCCTTGCCTCTCATTGTAATAAACTTTGTTGTGACTGTCACCGTGCCCGTAGCATTCTGTTTCAGGAGTCGTGTGGATGCAACACTATCATGGAAGCATACATGAACGTGAGAGCTGTTAGGATGTCCTTGGAACCACAGTAGAGGGGATGGCCATCTTGCCAGCACAACCCAACAAAAAGCCCCTAGTAGCGTGCCAGAAAGAATTGGAGGTCAACCAATCACCGAGCCACAGTGCGACCTGACGCGAAAAAGGCCCACCCGGACCTAAACCCGGAACTGCTGCAGCTTAAAAACCCCACCCCACCACACCTGGGGGCGACTCCCCTGACTCCTCTCTCTCTCTCCCTGAGTCACAGAACCTCACCCGAGACCTTAGTTCCCAAATAAAGCCTTTGACTGCTAAAATTTTTTAGCCTCTGACTCCTATCTTTACCCTGCCTTATGCCTGACCCTAACAAGAATGATCAAGAGACCACAACAAGTTGGCATCGACTCGCAACCCCATACCACCATCTCAAAGATGCAATCTATGCTCAATCTTGAGATGTGGCTGAGGTATACAGGAGGGCTGTGTATAGCAAAGCGTTATTCTCACTGGTGACAATACAGTAATATCACAAGGAGAGGAATTAACAGAACTTTAATATTGTATGGTTTAGAGCATGGACTGTGAAGACCAACTAGACCAAGTCAAAGTCCAAGTAGAGACACTGAGATAAATGTAAGAATCTCAAATCGTGTGAATGTAATATAGATGGTTGGTCATAGAAGAGAGCTGAGAAGCCAAATGTATGATGAGTCACCTCAGTATTTGCAACAGCAGAAAGGCACTACTGTCCCTAGAGCCAGAGGTAACAAAGGAGGAAGGAGGTGATGTTCCCAAAGCCTGGATTATGGAGCACTCCACAGACGCTGGGGTCAGGGTGGACCTGCCTGGTGGAAGCTGGGGCCAGGGATGAAGTGCCCTCCCATCTTCTGCTAAGGCATCCCTTTGGCCAATCCATATGGTACGTGGAGGGCAGGAGTTCCTGGAAAATGTATGCAGTTCCCTGTAGTTCATAGTATGGCCGTTTACTACGTGGGTGGGTTGAGGCAAGTCAACCTACCTCTCTGTGCCTCAGTGTCCTCAACTGTAAGACTGGGATAATGCCTTTCTTTGCCTGTGTAACTTATCCAACAGTGGTCATGACAAGATGAAAATGGCTATAAAGGACGGTGGCTGGCCCTCCATCTTAGACTGTGATAAGATAAAGAAAGGAGTGGATATTCTGGATTCCCTTGCTGGGAGCCAATGCCATAATCTTTAAGCTGCCTTAATATTGCTAACCATCCTCTCATTGGTTATTCTTCCTGTGGGCCACATGGGTGATACTTGAGTCCCATGGTGACTTTCAGTCAGTTTCACAGCATGAACTCAGAGGCCTTTCACTGTGGACTAGCGGGACACACATTACTCTCTGTGCTTACTGCTGAGGTACGGAGATGCTCAGAGAACCAAGAAACCTGCTCAAGGAAACCCAAATAAGAAGCGAAAGGACTGATAGTTAAACCAGTAACTTCTCTCTTCAAACCCAGTGCTCTGCCCTCCACCTAGTGCTGCCTTCATACCCAAAACTTGCATCAACCACATCTCTGCTCCATATTTTCAAAATAGAATTAAAAAAAAAAAACCAGATTAGTGGAAAGACTAATACAAAAGTTTAAGTAATTGACATCTCTCCTCCTCAACCTTATCAGCATTCGGAAACTTCTGTTAGAGGGAGAGAAAATCCGGCTTGTCCAGCACACCACTGTGTGGGGTCTACATTTCCAAGCTCTGTGACTTGAGGCCCTAGGGCCAGGGTGTGGCACCAGCTCCTTCTAGTGTGTCGGACACCACAGGCACATATTCATTATCCGGTGGGAGATGTGTAACTGCTAGTACTTGAGAGGCCAAAAGTACTTTTGACATTAAAAAAAAAAAAAAAAAAAAAGTATAATAAGCCACAAAAAAGACAAACTGCAGTTACCAGCAGAGGAAAAGTGAAGAACCTTGTCTAACTCTTCTGGTGTTTGAATTTTTACCACATACACTCATGACTTTCATAAACGTTCTCAAAATTCATTTGGTAGTGGGGAGGGTGCTACTGCCATAGCTCTTCCTCCAGGCCCCTGCTTCCAAATTAGCTGATGAGGAATAATGGCTTTCATTCCCAAAGAACCTCTTATAAAATAGTGGCATTGCCTCAGAAATGCCTTCCAGTCTTGGAAGGAACCAGTTAGACCAAGAGTTCACTGTGGAGGTCTGTGTTCCTTGTGGAAAAGTAAATCATTCCCGGTGACCTGATGCTCAGATGACTCTGGCCCTGCACCTGGGCTGAAATTAGGTATTGCTTCTCTACAACACCCACCCCACCCTCCTTTTTATCCTGTGTAAGCCTGAGCAAGGCTGTCTGTACAGCCACCACCCACCCTGCCCCACACTCACTTCCTTCCCCATTTAAAAATATCTGCTTTGAAACTGGTGCAGCCACTCTGGAAAACAGTATGGAGTTTCCTCAAAAAATTAAAAACAGAACTACCCTACAACCCAGCAATTGCACTACTAGGTATTTATCCAAGGGATACAGATATGCTGTTTTGAAGGGGCACCTGCACCCCAATGTTTATAGAAGCACTATCAACAATAACCAAAGTATGGAAAGAGCCAAATGTCCATCGACGGGTGAATGGATAAAATATATATATATATATATATATATATATATATATATATATATATATGAAATCTTGCCATTTGCAAGTACGTGGATGGAACTAGAGGGTATTATGCTAAGCAAAATTAGTCAGTCAGAGAAAGACAAATATATGACTTCACTCATATGAGGACTTCAAGAGACAAAACAGATGGATATAAGGGAAGGGAAGCAAAAACAATATCAAAACAGGGAGGGACACAAAACAGAAGAGACTTTTCAATATGGAGAACAAACAGAGGGTTACTGGAGGGGTTGTGGGAGGGGGGATGGGCTAAATGGGTAAGGGGCACTAAGGAATCTACTCCTGAAATCTTTGTTGCACTATATGCTAACTTGGATGTAAATTAAAAAAAGAAAAGAAAAGAAATAATATTTTAAAAATAAAAATAAAAAGATGAAGTGTCTACAAGTCCAAACTGTTTTTAAATTATCTAAACCTGCCTTTTACTCTTTCTTCCACCTTTCCACAGCCCTGTGCTGGAGCCCTTACTTTGACACTTATCAGAACTCCCCTGTCTATGGCTTATGTGACCCCAAGCACGTGGCACTTGTCTGTATCAATAGGAGGGGTTCAGAGTGTGTTTACAGAACCCGATGAGTGCACCAAGATCCCAAATACACAGTCCCAGAACTAATATACCCCGGGACCTCAGTGGATCTGTTTTAAGTGCATTTGCACAATGCAACAGCCAGGCAATGTCATGGTGACTTCAGGTCCCAATTAAACAGTCTACTGACAAATATAACCCACTGATGGATTCCTTAATATTTAAGTCTAATCATTAAAAAAAAAAAAAGTTGGCCCTTTAGACATCAAATTAATATCCAGTAGAAATCACCTGATCTCTGGACTTCCTTGAATGCTCTTGAGCCATGAATAACTAGAAGTCTTAAATGTGCCTTCCCATGGCCCTCATTTGTATAGGGAGTGTCATCAACAAGGAAGAGGTGCCAGTCCACCGAATACATCATCCCAGCATTTTCCTTCTCTGAGGAGGGAAAATGAGACACCTTGACTCATGAATTTGACAGTTTTCAGATAATGATGACGTGTAAGCCGTGTTTCACCCAAGTTATTGTCCTGCATCACACGCCAAGGAGCATAGGGTCAGGGACTCTGGAAAGTGCCCCATTTCTCCTCCCTCTCCTATCTGGAAGCTGATCCCATTCTATCTCAACTTCAGGCATACCTGTGCAGGCTTAGGATGTGACCCAACCTGAGTTTACACCTAGATTCTGAATATGTCCAAAGCTGGACTGCTTTGGTCCCGGGTGAGCTTCAGATTCACCCAGGGCTTTAAGAAGAAAGCTCATAAATACCACAGTGGGGACAAGGCAGCTCCAGACTACATGCCCTAGGACGGCTCCCAAGAGGAGGGGGTCTTTCCCACCCATATCTATAACCAGCTCTGAGCCAGACCTGGACCTGATGCCTAGAGGGCATCGGGATGGCTGTGTGCTCACATCAAATTTGCTTCACCCTTTAGGTTTGCAATTAACTTGGGGTGAGTGGGCGTGGTCTGTGGGGTAAGAGACACTGGCATGAAGCATCAGGAAACACGTCATATTGTCATCACTGTACTATTACAGGAATTGCAGCCGTTGCTTACTTGTACCTATGGCTGTGTCCTGCAATCCTTATAAAGTGGACGAACACACCTTCCCACCCAGTCTCAGCGTGCTGCGAAGCCTGCCGGCCATGAGAATCTATTATCTCCTCTTCGTGTTGCCCTTCCTGTTCTTGATGCCTGTTCCAGGTAAGATGGGTCGGGAGGTGAGCGGGTTGAAACAGTTGCAAAGAGGTCAGTCCCTCCCCATCCTCCAGGGAACTTTAGACCAAGGAGATTTGTTGTATGGGAACAGACGTCACCATTTTTTTTTCTGTTGAGAATCATCAGGGACCTTGAAGCAGTTTTCTCAGTCTTTTCTGATCCACTCCTCAGAGACTACATTGCTCACAAAGACCACTCCTTCATGGAAAGATGGTTTTACTTGTTCATGAGACATAAAGAGAATGATACAAAAACCTTTAACACCAACAGGAAAGACTGATTTAATCTGAACTCAGAAGCACAGACTCCCAGTTACTAGCTTGCTGGTTCCAAGTAGAGTCTTTGGGCCTCTTGAGACCCAGGGGACCACGACCACCCCAGCCCTTGGGTGCTCCCAGTGGCCACGCCCCTTCCCCACGGCCACCTCGGTGGTCCTCGGCTGAGCTGTGGCCCATAGAAGCCCAGTTGACTGGTTGCTTAGTCCTTCCCCTACTTTACTTCTCATTTTATAGAAAAAAAAAAAAGGTAATAAAAAAAAAAGATACCCTAAAATAAAAGAAAAACAAACAATTCCCTTGAGTGATTAATAGTGATTGGAATAATATTTTATTTAAAAAGGAAATTACAAATTGGCATCTACCAAATCCTAACCAGTATCTTTATACCATGTGTTTTCTCATTTCTTAATCGGAAGAAATGTGTATGTTCACCCCATGAGGTATACAACTAGGATTATAACTGAATTCACTTTCCAACTACCCGACCCTAAATAGAAGTGTATATTGAGGGCAGGAGAGGCTGGGGGGGCGGGGGGATTGGGGCTTGGGGGGGGGGGGGGCAATACAAGAAAGGTAGCAGACCAGTTATTTGGGGAACTCCAAAAGCCTTGTGCTTGGACCAAGCCTTCCATGTGTCCTGTTTTTTCGCTACAGGAAATGGAGGAATTATAAGCCTCCTGCAGAAGCAGTTTTGCAGTTTGAGAAGCGGCAGGTGCGCTCTGCTAACCTGCCTTCCAAAGGAGGAGCAAATCGGCCGATGTTCTCTCAGCGGCCGAAAGTGCTGCCGAAGAAAGAAATAAAAAATCCAGAAACGCGATGGGAGTGTTGTAAAGTGTCGTGAGATGCCTCCTGGAAGTTTGTAGAAGCAAAATCAAATTAAATATTTTTCTCAAAACAATTAGGAGCTTGATTATTTTTTTTAATTCTGGTTACTGTGGTCATTGTTACCAAACTGATAGCTTAGAAAGTGTTACTGGACTCACCTTTAACTCAAACACAGGAAAATCTGGAGGAATCCCCCAGGGGACCTGAGCTTAGTTTCCAAGGGTTATCAGATTTGATTCCCTTTTTTGCAAATTATGTATCCCAGTGAAACTGGACTGCCTGTTTTCCCTGAAATATTTCCTTTGCCTTCCTGTCACCGGTGCCTCTGCTCTGGCTGACCACGTCGCTGGCGTGCAATCACCCTTCTGCAAACTTCAACCCATCCCCGCCGCCCCCCACCCTAGGCCATTGCAGATCCTGCCTCCTTCTTAAAAAGAGTGCCTCGGGGCGCCTGGGTGGCGCAGTCGGTTAAGCCTCCGACTTCAGCCAGGTCACGATCTCGCGGTCCGGGAGTTCGAGCCCCGCGTCGGGCCCTGGGCTGATGGCTCGGAGCCTGGAGCCTGCTTCCGACTCTGTGACTCCCTCTCTCTCTGCCCCTCCCCCCTTCATGCTCTGTCTCTCTCTGTCCCAAAAATAAATAAACATTGAAAAAAAAATTTAAAAAAAAAAAAAAAAATAAGAGTGCCTCTTTCCAGAAAGAATAGGAGATTTCCTCTGATTCACTGCAGGGTTCTGACCCAGTGCTCCTTCAGTGAATCTTGCTTGATCTCTGCGTCCTATACATTTGCATATTTCCAATCTCCGTATTTGGTTGCATCACTTTTTAAGGGCAAGGACCTTGTCTTCCTCCTGTCTGGAACCTCATAAAGTGCCTGGAGCACGACAGCTGCTCAGACGGTTTAGTGAAGTACATTCCAGTGGCTTGAAGGTGCTATGGTTTGCACAGTGTTCTCCCGACGGATGGTTGGAACGGATGGTTCCAGGAGATGGAGAAGCAGGCCCATGTTCCCCATCACCAGCCCTATACAAAGGCAAGAGAACCCGGCTGTCAGGGAGAGGGGAGCAGGCTCCTGCAGAGAAGAGCCTGGATCCCACTTCCCATCCAGAAAAGGATGAACAGCTGTGGGAACTGCCCTCCTGCAGGATGCAGCTGGGGAAGCAGGCAGAGATGCCAGACTGCTGTTCCAGACGCTGGACAGTCAGCAGTGTGAGACCGCGGCTGTGGAGGCCGGTGAGAGTCTCCAGTCTCCTGCGGGAAGCAGGTTCCAGGCCAGAGCACAGGGAAGAAGAAGCCAAGCAGACCAGAGATGGATCAAAGTTCAGGCAGCCCAAGACCCCTGCATTCCCGGCATGGAGAACCGGAAAGGGGCATCTGGATGAGGACAGAGCTCCCAAGTGCAAAAGAGGACTGTCTTGAATCTCGGCCGGAGTGCCGGGCTCAGCACCTTGGGGTTAAATTTGGCAAGCTCAGAGGAAAACAAAAACACCCAACAGGGATTGCATGGACAATTCCAGGAACACACACCTGTCTGGAACACGTGCATTCCGACCAGCAGGGTGGAGAGAGTCCTCACAAAGGGATGGCACTTGTAGCCCTCCTCTGGAGCCCTAGTGTCAACTGTTCTGGAATTACTCCGGGTGGTAATGATATGTCAATGCAGGTGCACCGATTTGGCCAGATGTGGATGGGGAGGCTGTGCGAGTGTGAAGACAGGGGAGATGTGTGAAATCTCTGTACCTTCTGCTCATTTTTCTATGAGCCTAAAACTGCTCTAAAAAATAAAGTCTATTTTAAAAATAAGGTAAAAATTTTTAAGCAACAAAAAGCTAACAAAATTTCTCACCAGAAAACCTGCACTATTAATTTTTTTTTTCTTTAGGCAGAAGAATAATGCCAGATGGAAATTTGGCTCTACATGATCAGCTAAGATTCTACGTCAAATGAAGAGCCTGTCGGCTCCTTAAAAAATAAGATAATAAGAAGGGTACCTGGGTGGCTCAGTCAGTTAAGCGGCCAACTTCGGCTCAGGTCACGGTCTTGCAGTCCGTGGGTTCGAGCCCCGCATCGGGCTCTGTGCTGACAGCTCAGAGCCTGGAGGCTGCTTTGGATTCTGTGTCTCCCTCTCTCTCTGCCCCTCCCCTGCGCATGCTCTGTCTCTCAAAAATAAATAAATGTTAAAAAAAATTTTTTAATATGATAAGATACATGCTGTCTATAAGAAACTTATGTGAGATATCAAATGGAAAGACAAAGATAGATTAAAAATAAAAGAATGGAAACAGGCTAAGGAAACAGTGATCTAAAGAAAACAGAATTAACTATGTTGGCTAATTGCCTATAAATCAAAGTAGATTTTAGAAGAAGTATTACCAGGAATAAAAGGGGATATTTTTCCCAGTCATAAAGTGGTTAATTCACCAATAACATATATTACATAATATAATACTAAATTAGAATGCTCTTCATAAAAAAATCCCAAAAGTCTTAAAGGAAAACTGATATAAAGGGGAGGAGAAATTGACACATTAGCAATTACTAGTAGATACTGTGACATTTCATTTATAGTGAAAAGAAAAAGCAGAAAAAAGTATCAGTAATAATATATAGAAGACATGAACAGTATCATGCAGTGTGACCTAACTGAAATTTATAGGACGCTATGCAATAATCACAGAATCCTCTAAAATGTTATATAATACAGCCCATACTGGGCTATAACACAAGTCTTAAAAATCAAAACAATTTAAAATTATTCAATGTATACCATAGAGAGACACACACTGTGTCTGTCCACAGTAGAATTTACAAAGATATCAGTAACTGAAAGATATCTGGAAAAATCCTCAAAAAATGTGGAAATTAATCAACATGCTTCTAGTGGGTAAAAAGAAGAAATCACATGGGAAGTTAGAAAATATTTTAAACCCATCAAGAATGAAAACAACGTACCAAAATTTGTGGGAATGTAGCTTAAACAGTGCTCAGAGAGAAATTTATAGCATCGAATGCTTTTAATATAGACATGACTAAAGCCCACAAATTAACAATGTGAATGAATTTCTACCCTAAGGAACTAGAACAAAGGGAGGTAAAACCAAAGTAAAAAGGATACAGGTGAATAAAATGGACACATAGTAAAAAAAAATTTTTTTTTAATCTTCTCTTTGAGAAGATCGTAACATCATTAGCACCCAAAGTAGGTTCATTAAAGGGGGAAAGAAATAAAAGTAAATCACAAGATGCCTCCGATATACACACTCCCTTAAGGCAGACAGGAAAATGTGAAAGAACATTTGGGCATCTCCGGGTGACATGGACAGAGTCTCCACCAGATGACAGTAATTCACACCTTCATCATTACCTCCTGCAAGGTCAGGCCACAGCCTCCTTGATTTCTCTTAAATTTAAGATATGCTGGGGTGCCTGGGTGGCTCAGTTGGTTAAACGTCAGGCTTCAACTCAGGTCATGATCTCACAGTTCATGAGTTTGACCCTGTGCGGGGTTCTGTGCTGATAGCTGGGAGCCTGGAGCCTGCTTCAGATTCTGTGTCTTCCTCTCTCTGCCCCTCCCCTGCTTGACTCTGTATCTCTCTCTCTCAAAACTAAATAAATATTGAAAAATTAAAAAAGGAAATAAGATATGCTGCCAAAAGCAGCTGTATATTCAATGCAATCACTATGTAAATTCCAATGGTCATTTGTACTTTTTCTTTGGAAAATGTCTATTTGGGTCCTTTGCCCATTTTTAAATCAGGTTATGTGTAATTTTACTATCAAGTTGTATGTTTTCCTTACAAATTTTGGATGTTAACTCCTTATCACATACGTGGTTTGCAAACATTCTTTCCCAACCTGTAGGTTGCCTTTTCCTTTTGTTGTTTCCTTTGTTCTGTGTGGTCATTAGACACATGAAACGATGCTCAACGTCACTAATCATCCGGAAAATGCAAAAACACAATGAGCTATCTCCTCACACATGCTAAAATGGCTAGCATAAAAAAATAAAAACAGATGTTGGCAAGGATGTAGAGAAAAGGGAACTCTGGTTAACTATTGGTGGGAATGTAAATTGATATGGCCACTATGGAAAACAGTACATGGGTTCCAAGGAAGGAAAGGAAAGGAAAGGAAAGGAAAGGGGGAAGGAAGGAAGGAAGGAAGGAAGGAAGGGAAAGAAAGAAAGAAAAGAAAGAAAAAGAACAAGGAAGGAAGAAAAAGGAAGGAAGGATGGAGGGAAGGAGGGAAGGAAGGAAGGAAGGAAGGAAGGAAGGACAGAAGAAAGGAAGACAGGCAGGCAGGCAGACTATATGATCTAGCAATCCCACTTCTGAGTATATACTAAGGGAAACAAAACCAGGACCTTGAAGAGATATATGCACCCTCATACTCACTGCAGCATTATTTACGATAACCAAGATATGGAAACAACCTAAGTGTCCATCAATGGATAAATGGATAAAGAATTGTGATATACACACAATGGAATATTAACCAGCCACTAGAAAGAAGGAAATCCTGTCGTTTGAGACAACAGGGACAACAATGAAGGCAAAATGCTAAGTGAAATAAGGCAGACACAGAAAGGAAAAAGACCTGCATGTTGTCACTGATACATAGAATCTAAAAGAGTTGAATACGTAGAAGCAGAGGGTAGGATGGTGGCTACAGGGGCAGAGAGTTATGTAAGACAAATTGGTCTAGCGATCTTGTGTGCGGCATAGGAGTCTAGTTCATAATTTTATATCGAACCCTGGAAATTTGCTAAGAGAGTAGATTTCAGGTGCTCTCAGCATACACGGGAGATGCTAACTATGTGAGGAGATATGTTAATTAGCTTGACTGTAGCCATCATTTCTCTACATGCATATAGCAAATTATTTTCTATACCTTAAATATATACAATTTTTATTTTAAAAATTAATGGAAGAATAGACTGAGGAGTATGAAATGGTGTTAGTAAATACAGATTTCCCAGCTCACTGAAAAATATGGTCTGCAGCAGTCAGGTGTGTTTTTATGATCCGATGAATAATTCGGTCTTATTTCCAACTTTATCAAGTGAGTATTTTTTA